AACCATTGAGTGGAGGAGTTGAGTTTGGTTCGAAGATCGCCCTGCACTCCAGGTCGTTCTTTTGCCACACAGTGTCGGTCTGTCAGAGGCATGAGGCAACAAAATAGTGCGTGCATGCGTTTCTATCAAGAAATGAGACGTTAACTCTGACCAGCGAGTTCACGTCCACGCACCACTGCTTTTCTGCATCACACTCTCATGGAAGGCTTGAGGATGTGCCCCCGTCGGCACAATCTATCATTACCAGATTCATATCCCCCATTTTAAAAGTTGGGAGATTTCACGATCAGTTGGCGATCTTTTAAGACATTTTAGTCGTTGGGCAACTACCGGATCTTCCTGAAAAAAGTTCAAGGCACCGCGGATTTTATTTTAGACCTTTTGCCAGTGCTGCGTTGCTGCGCAGCGTCGATTACGCTTGCTGGTCGGGGAGCCAAAACCAGAAGGAAGAGCTTGCCGATAAGGAGGAGGTGTGAAGGCGAATTGGTTTGTCCCGATAGTAAAAGAAGAAGCGCCTTTCATTTTTCACAGTACTGAAGGTGCACTGCTTCGACTTTCAGTACAGGGACATCCAAGACAGGGTGACGTTCTGTACTGCGCTCTGTGTGGTCAAAATGCAGGGCCGGGACGAAGGCACACCTCATCGTATTCCTGTCAGATATGTGCGGTACACTTATGTGTAACAACTTACGCAAGACTTAGGAAGATTGGTTTCAGTATCTAGCATTCAACGAAGAATTTAACATTTCGGCATGGAAGCAATAATCGCTGCAGGACAAATGGTAGATGGAAGGCGCTACCAACTACATCAGAGAGATTGCCACTGCTCTACTCTACTTTGTTGAGGAGGTTGGACCCCAAAGTTCCACCCATTGGGCCAAGAGACTTCGAGTCTCTCCGCAATAAGTTGGACAAATTATGCAACTCGAAAAAGAAAATGGGTACCTCATCTTGCCCGGACCCGGTGCGAAGAGCCAAAAGGATAGGCCACGCTCTCCAAAACAATTGCGATGCAATGATCGTAGAATGATCAAGTGACGATGAAGATAATGGAAGCAGAATCGAGAGGCAGTCGCGAGATGGCGAAGTGTCGAGTCGAGCTGTTAAGATAGGTACCGAGGACAGTAACGAAGGAGCACTCGGTTCCATGAAAAGGAGGCGCAAAATCGCAGCTACGGGGACACGCAGAACGAGGTTTCGCGCAGATGATGCCATTGTTGGGCACATTCCGGATATGTCAGAACATATTGGAGCCATATCCAAGTCGATTGTTTCTACACAGAATGTAGTTTCCGCAAGTCTGGGTTTCAAAAAGGAAGACGTCGTCGCAATTGTGAAGACTAAAGTGTGCGAAACTATTGCCCCGACAAACGCTATGCCACATCAAATTAGTACTCTACTTGAGACAATGGTGAGTGAAAAGTAAAGTTACGGCTACTGTGCGTCGCTTTATTGCCTAATCACAAGCCCCCAGACATCCAAAAATCCAATATCCTTGAAACGTTTCACACAGAGATATGTGTTTGTATTGCTATGGCCTAAGAGCGCCTTAGACTTTACATGCTTGTTAGTAAACAAGGCATAGGTGACATTGCGAGATACGAGGAAGTCGTCGTCTTTGCCGCATGACAAGATTTGATTTCACAGGGTCGTCATTCGTGTGTTGACGGGTCTTGGCAGCGCACCCCGCAGATACTTAGGATTTTTGCGCGAGTGATTACGAGCAGCTGTATATTCGCGCGAAAACATATGTTCAGGGGATTTGGCAAAGTGATCCCACCTCACGAGAGCGGCACCACTTCTTCAAAAGTGAGCAATTTAAAGCATTTCCTTGGAGTATTTATGGAGGTTCACCAGTTAGATTTGTTGGTTGGCGCAAACCCCATTGATCGTGAAGCGCTAACAGATACCAACATGGTGAACGGTCATCGGGGTACTTCCCGATTGCAATTGTCGCATATTCTTGACGAAATACGAACACCCTGAACAGACATTGAGGAATCTGATATGCAGCTTATTCCATACAGCAGCACCTTGAGCTCTGCACCTCAGTACAAGCACCAGTACAAGAATTTCAATTATGCACACAACGCGAAGTGGTTCTGCCAGCCACTGCTCTACAAGTCCAGTGAACGATGAATTTATGAGTTTCTCAATAGATAGAGCGGTCTACTGTACTTGAGACCAAACCCTGTTGTAGGAGGTATTTTGTGATTCACCACCATTGATCTTCACCCAACTCAATTGAGAATAGGTGTGTCACTGAAGACCTATGGAGCAGATGCCGCAATTAAAGAACAGTGGTTTCTGAAAAGGTGCAGACGCAGACGGAAAGGCCTTTGTGATAAAGGGAAATAAAAGGAATGTTTCCGGGGAGGAAATACATGTGAATTGCGAATGCTGTGTCTGTTTGTAGTTTTTGGTGGCTTTTTGAGGAGATGAAACTTTTAAAATGGGGAATATGAATCTGGTAATGATAGATTGTGCCGACGGGGGCACATCCTCAAGCCTTCCATGAGAGTGTGATGCAGAAAAGCAGTGGTGCGTGGACGTGAACTCGCTGGTCAGAGTTAACGTCTCATTTCTTGATAGAAACGCATGCACGCACTATTTTGTTGCCTCATGCCTCTGACAGACCGACACTGTGTGGCAAAAGAACGACCTGGAGTGCAGGGCGATCTTCGAACCAAACTCAACTCCTCCACTCAATGGTTCCTCCATTGCAATTTGATAGAAAGCTGACAACGTCACCTTTCCCCCTCGCTTCCTCACTCGAAATCGATACATAGCTGAAAAAACCCACTCTACCTTCCCCCTCCTCCCCCAAACTCGTTCTGTTTGTATTTATCCTCCATTCTACGATGCTCGACACATCCCCAACAACTTGTTCGACACGCAGTGGTGCAATTTCATGTTTACAATCGACTTTTGCATTCACTGATATAGATCACAGATAAATCTTTGATAGGCTCGACCGGTTCGACCGACTCGACCCAGTCGTCGAAGTATCATGTACATGCATTCGAAACACTGGTCTCTTGTCTCCTTCCTGACAATGGCATCTGCATTTATCACACACCGCTAGCTACACCCCCAAAAGCCGACAGTCAATACTTAAAGCATGTTGAACCACCAAATCACTCCTGGCTTCCCTCCCTCACCTCCCTTCCCCTCCACAATCCCATTCTCAACCACCAAACGTCGCCAAACTCATTCCCATTCCTCCCTACCTTGCCTCTCAAACATATTCCCGTCCTTCCGCACCATCCCACAACCCTATCTACACCTACATCCACCTTCTCGCAGACCCTCATTCTCCTCCCTCCCTCCCACTCCTCAATCATGTCGGTCGCCACACTCTATCTCGTTACAGGGTTTGCACTCCTGTCCGTGCTTCTAAACCGTCCTCATGGTCATGCCCTCCTCGCCGTTCCCAATCAACGCGGTGCCCTGGCTACCTCCAAATTCGTCAAGGGCATCAACGATTCGGCTCCACGGGATCCTTTCGCCCATTTTCCGGCGGGCGAAAAGGCGGCCGTTTCCGGGATTGCGGTTGCTTCTCAGATGAAGGCGGCGGGAAAGAAGGGCTGGAATCCGTTTCTTCCGCTGCAGAGGGATTTCGTCTGGAGAGCTGGCGTGTGCGGGGATGAGAAAGGGGCCCGGCAAGATCACCTGCGCGGGGGAAAGTACTACTTCGGTGGTATGGTCGTGCAGACGCACGTTCAAGGGGGCATCTTAGCAGCGCAGGTGAATCTGGTGTCGAACCACGGCGGCTTCTTCGAGTTCCATGTCTGCGACGTGTCGAAGTGTGGGGGCGAGATCTCAGAGCAATGCTTTCGGAATGGCCATTGTCACCAACTGCGGCGGGAGCCGAACCCGATCTGTGACAATGGTCGCAGCCGGGCGTGCGCACCGATTGATTCGCACTACCCCGGCCGGTGGTACCTGCCCTGTTCGCCGTTCGACCCAAACACAATGCACGGTCGGCAGTATCTCGGCGGGAACAAGATGTTGTACCGACTGCCAAATCACTTGCATTGCGAACATTGCGTTCTGCAGTGGTTTTGGTCAACATCTAGCAGGTGCAACCCGCCGGGCATGGCGGAATTCTTCAGCGGGCGAAACGGGCCTCATTGGGGAAAGTGCGAGGGTCAAGGAGGAGCCGTGGGAGGCGTGAACCAACGGCGCCAAGTCTGTGATCGGGATAACTTCCCACAAGAGTATCTGCAGTGCGCAGATATTTCTATTCTGCGACGGTCTGTCGGCACTATTGGTCTAACTCCGAACGAGCCCCTAGCGGCGGGAGAGCCAAGTCCGAGCCCGTCAAGGAGCCCGATCGCACCTGGCCCGGTTGTTCCAGTTATGGCGGAGGAGCACAGCGATGGTGGGGGTGAAAGCAACACCGGCGCCTCCCATCCTCCCAGTGATCAAGACCTCACGCTCAGTGCATCGCCCGTCCCGGAATCACAAAGTACGGGACCAGAAGAATGGGATGTTGATGTCGAAACTAGCAAGCCACCCGAGCTAGACGACACAACCCCACACCACACCGCCGATCCAACCCCGGACGCCACCCACACGCCTCGTCTATCGCATCCCTCCCCGATCCCCAAGTTGGCCATTCCGCCTGGGTACCCGGAAGGCGTGTATGGACACGGGACAAGTCACAACGGGATGGGCTCGCGACAGGCCTCTGTTGGGGCACAGCCTCATGGGTTTTGGGAATCGTATCGGTGGGCTTCTGACGAGCACGCGAAAAGAAGCCGTGAGGAGGAGGCGAAACGCACAGAGATACCGCAAATGGAGACCGGAAAAGCACATGGATTGCTCTATCCGCCGGGCCACTCCATGCTCCAGGAAATCCGGCATCTACTGCAGCGCGACGGTTTGCGGTGGGCAAGGGCTGAGCTTGCCAGAAGAGAGAAGGCAGAGGGGAAGCCCAATGGTGGCAGTTGAAGAAAGAGCAATTTGTTGTACGGTACATAGTTTGTCTAGATAGTATGTGTTTGTTTCATATGTATAAAGAACTGTATTTCATCAAAGATTCATCACGGGACGCTCGCTTGCCACACCATGTTGCTTTCACACAAGAAGAATACTAGCGATGGTGAAGTTGCATATCAACGAAAAATAGTGCCGAGGCTGTGGCTGAATCGCAGGAAGGCACTGTTTCCTCGTCATGCTGCGGTCGCACATGCAAACCGGTAGTAATCCACGACTTGTCAGGTCTCCTGCAAATCGTTTTCTTGGATCCTCTTCTTGGATCCTCTTCTTGGACCCTCTTCTTGCATCAGCCTTATCTATGTCTCTAATCGCAGATTTGGCCTCTTGTCCCATTTCTGTACATGCTCCTTGCACCACATGCTGTCACAGTGAGCCAGTGACCATGCTCTTCGCATCGCCTATTACATACGGCACATGCTCTCCGCAGTGGTAACAGATGCTGTGGTAACAGCATCTGTTACCACAGCGAGGAACACACAGCTTTTTATAAGACGGATTGAAGACATCCGTAAACAGTAGGTACTACAACAATACATGCTGTGTTGGAAAGGTAACCGAACACATCTGTTCCTACCACGTTAGAATACTTCAAGTCCGCTTCCGCATGTTTTCATGATTCTCGTTCACCTCCCACACAGCTTTCCCTTTTCAACAAAGGGACGGCCACAATGGCTTCCCTTCTGTGTTGTCATGAAATTCTCTTTTGTTTATAGCAATTCTTTCAAGTACATGCTCTGTGGTTCTGTTTCAGACTTGTTCTTTAAAATCTAGGTTGTGAGAAAAAATCCCTCATCTGGTTCTACAATTGTCCCAGAAGATTGAGTCAATTCATTCTTGAAAGCTTCCCGCGCAGAGTATTGTCTCATTTGGAACTACATTGCTCCATCGAAAAAAGCTCTCAAGAGCATACGTATCGCTTCGAAATCGAGGCCTGAATTCCAGATGCGATAACCGCTTGCTCCGCGAATTCGCACTGCTATTTAATTGCAATCCGGTAATGCATGTCGTGAAAATCCATCAAAACACGAATAATGTTTCTAAGTAGGGAGCTTTCCGTGGCAATACCATTTTGCTCTGTCCTATTTGGTCTGCAGGCGGGCAATATTTGTAGACGAAGTCTGCTTCATGAAGTCGGAGAAATGAGCCCCCCAATACAATGGACATACTCGTGGCAACAATGCTATCATAGCTAATGCCTTGCATTATGCCTTTTTACTTGATCAACTCTAGATTAACAATACGGATAGATACGGTGCCTATGCAAGAGGCTCAAAACGTGACACATAAGCTCTCAGACAGAAATCCAGACGGTCTGACTATCTTGCGTCTACTATATGAATAATAGTAACCTGCGTTTGGTTTTTTCCCTTTTCTGTTAGCACACAGTCACCATCTCGCCCGTCTTTGTACTGCTTCCTCATCAAGAACAAGGCAGATATTGCCCCCTTTATCACGTATGAATCTCAAGACTGTTTTCATTGCAGCACTTATATGCACATTCACTATTGCAAACGCGGGTCCACCTCTATGTGGAAACTTCTGCAAGTTTGGAATGTTCAAGTTCAACGGAAAGAGAAGATTACTTCCTAAGGCACCTTTCACTATTCTTGGAGCTCCAAAAACGGCCCAATTGCCCTTCATCTGTCGCCCTAAGGATGATATGGGCGAGGTCCTCAGGGCTAGAGAGGCGCAAGTCTTTGACGGCGAAGGATTCGTTCCGATTTCACTAAACGCGCGAGGGGAGTTTAGATGTAACGTGAAGGATTATTAAGAAGTACCGACTGAGGTTTAGGTATGAGACTGGGCCCCCTGTTTCTCGAGTGCTTGAAAGCGAGCCTCTTCTCTTAACAGACATGTTTATTTGTCATTTACTTGGAGCAGTGCCTTTGTACAAGGTAAAGCAGGGTAAGGAGTTCGCGGTGTTAAAACCTAGCGCTAATTGTTGCCCACTTCCAACGCACCTCCGACGAGCGATATTCGGCTTCCTCTACCCTACTGCGACGCCTGCCACGTTATCCGCGACTATCCTTCTAGCCGCCAACGAGCGACGTGCATGAGGCGAACAGGGTGTTTGTATGACAAGGGGCTGCGACAGTCGATCTTGCTGTTGACAGCAGGTTGACATCAACCTCATGATCGGAGATTATCTCGGCATAAGCCAATTTTTAACCAAATTTCCGCCATAGTGTACACGTCATGAATCCGGTCTCTTCTTGTTTACCCCTTTTCTCCTTTACGATGACGAGTAGATTGGGAAGCTTATCTCCGGTTGAAAGAGTGCTCTCTGGCTTAAGTCCGCAGTCTCTTTTGTGAACTGCCGGTTTTAATTGAACGCTGTCGGGATCAGAACAGCGGCAAACATCCATTCCCAATAGCGAGCCGAGGTTTGTTCCGTGCATTAAACTGCAATGCCGCCTGTTCATGCAATGGGGTTTGCCCCATCCTTGTCCCAAACCGGTACCCTGATAAGGCGCATGCCGGCCTTACCCCTTAGGCGCGTCACAGCACGTCCATCCCATAGGTTTTATTGCCTCGCTCCGTCGCAAGCCGCGAGCGATGTAAAAGTTGGCTTCATCGGCCTAGGTGTCATGGGGTTGCCAATGGCTGCCAATCTCGGAAAAACATTTAAACATATGGTCGTCTGGAACCGAACTGACAAGAGCGATGTGTTGCAAAAGGCTCTTGCGGAAACAGATGCGAGCTTCACCTCCGTGTCCGAACCGGCAGACGTGGTCCGTCAGTGTGATATCGTTTTTTCCATGCTGTCTACGCCGGAGGCCGTCCGCTCTGTTTTTCATGAGGGTTCCGGGTCCGCGCTGAATGGAGTTACAGACGGCAAAAGTATTGTAGATTGCTCGACATTACGGATTGAAGATATGGAATATACAGCCGCAAAGGTTCAAGAGAAGGGTGGCAGGTTTTTGGAAGCGCCCGTGAGTGGATCAAAGGGACCGGCGGAACAGGGTAGTCTGATCTTTCTCTGTGCTGGTGAGAAGGCCCTGTATGATCATCCTGTAGCCCAGGAGGCTCTGGACCTTATGGGAAAGAGAAGCTTTTTTTTGGGGGATGTTGGGAACGGAACGAAAATGAAGGTATGTGGGCGCTTCTTGTTTCTTGAAGGGTATCCTTTTTGAGAAGATACATGCGTGTACTGACTTGTATTTCTTCGACTATTCTGCGCGCCTTGGTTGGAAAGCTGGTCGTTAATCAACTCATGGGGGCCATGTTAGCCGCTTTCGGGGAAAGTATTGTCTTGAGCGAAGCACTTGACCTTTCCGTTGATGATTTGCTTGAAATTATGTAAGTACCTGCGCGCAACAAACATTCTCGTAACTTGCACTTCATGCTCGTGGCTGACGTTGGGCTATGCTCTGAAATCCCACTCCATTGATATTTGCAGATCATTAGGCGCCATGAGTGCCCCTATGTTTGCGCTGAAAGGACCGAAAATGAAGCATGGAGTCAAGGGTTACGATACCAACTTTCCACTTGAACATGCCCAAAAGGATATCCGCTTTGCCCAGATGCTTGGAGACGAAAAGGGAGTCAATATGGGTGTATCAAGTGCAGCGAATGGTAAGTCCGCAATCTCCCAGAGTGCCTGGCAACAGCATGGCTCATTGCAACAATTCTGACTGTTGCGTGGCTTTTTCTCCTTTTCTCACTCGATTCGGTTTTAGAATGGTACAAATCGGCGAAAGGTCTTGGCTTAGGTAGAGATGATTTCGCTGCTGTGATCGAAAGTATCCGGGCATCGGCTGGGCGGTCCTGATACCATGAGGAAACTGCTAAGCGCTTCAGCTCACTCTTGAAAAGGTGACCATCGACAACGCTATGAGCAACGACAAACGGGTAGAAATTGGAACTAGCATGTCGAAGTGGATCGTGATTGTTATGCAACAACATGGATATCATTTTCGTTTTCCAATATGCCGTCGCTATCGATTCTTATCGTCGAGGCTGCCGTCACCGTCATCTCTCGAATGAAGGAATTGTCTTCGTTGCGAAGTAATGACACGATGCCTCTACGTTGATCAATTCTTTCGTGTGCTTCTGCAGAGCGGCCATCCGCCGTGAAGTATAACAACACCGTGTGTAGCGAAATAGAGCGCCATGAGCTAGGCATAAACTCTCTAGGGATAGAGGGAATTCCAGCTTGACTGAAGGGCCACTTTACACCCAGTGCTTCTTCTTCAAATAGAGCGCTCTTACTTGCAAAGACAATGACCTTCTGAGACTTTAGTAGCTCTCGCAAAACGTTTACAAGAACGAATTCATTAGTTCCTGAGCCAGGTGCTTTTTCCCTAACATCGGATGTGCTTATTTGGAACTTGTCCAGATAATGAAACGTCCCAAGAGCGTCGATAATTACATTTCTCACTATGCATGGGACAGAAGATAGAGAGATTAGTATCACGGCAAGTTTGTGATTGCACCGCGAAGCAGCAATGGGACTAGTAGTTGCACATGGACCACGAACCATTTTCGCCATCTGGACTGTCCAAGAAACGCCGCAAAGCGTGCAAAGATGAGCACAGAGCAAGCATATTTTCCGGATGATAGATGCGAAGACCAGCAAGAACTCGGCGTTCATCCGTGTCGCCTAAATTATGTTTTTGCTGTGCAATCATCTGTTTGAGGCGTTTCAAGCATAGCCCCCCGTTAAGGTCGAACCAGCACACCGCTGGCTTTCCGATGTTGTTCGATTTCGACAACGCATCTGCGGCAACAAAATGCAATAATTGCGTCTTCCCAGAGGAGGTTACACCTACGACCTCCACTAGGTCACCCAGTTTGGGACTTGAGTGATTCAAGACTTTGATGGCAGTGTGCACTGGTAGCCCTCTCTGGATGAACGACGCTTTTTCGCGATCTGCGCGGCTACCCAAACGGGCTGCAATCGCCTGGGAAACTCTGCTGCCACTCATGCAAAGGCTTATTCACGTTCCGCCATCCCTGACGCGAGCGGTAGTTTCAGGCGTGAGGCGCAGAAATTGCATGGAGGGGAAATGCCAAAAAACCGAACTGGAACAAAGGATCAAATGGCATGATACGCACTGTATCAGACCGTAGCGAAATTAGAGTTGGAGGGGACCAAGAATGGACATCTGGGAGTTTTCTTGCCATAGACATCGTTTTATCGACATGATGCAATATGCGAAGAAAGTTTACTTTGCGATTAGTCAGCAGACAGTTGAAGGAAAGGATGGGCTTTTATTCTGTCGTAATCGATGACGTGGGCCCATGTGGGAAAGATGGCATGGTCGTTAGGAAGCTCGCGCCGAAAGCGGTCCTTTGGATCTCGTTCAAGGCAAGTAGCGATGAAGGTATGGGCAGCGTGCAGCTGTTGCTGTGAGGTGATGGGAGGGTCAAGCTGGCGGGCGGCTGCATGAAAGGCCGAGTGGACACTGGTATTACCGCGAGCGAAGGCGTCAAGTTCATCAAGGACCGCGGCGCCGGAGGCGGTGGAGGCGCCAAACGGGCCTGGGCCGCCGAAAAGCAGGGCCCAGGTGAAGATTCCGAGGGCCCAGATATCGGCTGAGGGGTCAGGTTGGACACCTGAGAGGAGCTCTGGGGCAAGGACGTGGGCACTGGTGGTGAAGGAGGGATCTCGGTGGGGGTGGTGCCTAAGAAAGCAGCCGCCAAAGTCAACGACACAGACGGCGTCTGCGTTTGCCGGGTCAACGATGACGTTGCGGAGCGTGAGGTCGGCGTGAACGACGTCGACCTGATGCACTTGATACAGGGCATCAACAAGGCGTCTGATGATGCCAGCCGCGCGGGGTGGGGGTAAGGGACGCGGGAGACGCACGGCGGGGATGCCAGGCGCGCGGAGCATAGTGAAGGTTAGGGCCGTGGGGGAGACGGAGGCGGACATGAGACGGGGGACAAGACCGGAATGGTGGTTGGAGAGACGGACGAGGGCGGTGCGCTCGGCCTGGACGATGGGGGTGAGATTATGGCGGGCGACATCGGAGCGGAGATAGGTTTTAAGGAGTACTGGAGTGGGAGGTGCTGTGGGGGACGGAAGCTCTGCGAGGGAGATGAGGGCGCGGGTTGAGGTGGGAAGTGTGCCGATGTGACGAAGCTGAGTCATGTCCTCTTATAGGGGGAAGAATTGCGAGGACGAAGGAAAGGCGGGAAAGAAAGGGGGGGAAGGGGGGTGGCGGTGGTGAGGCAGGCGATTGTGAGAGTTGAAGGTGAAAGGGGAAGGGGGGAAGGGAATGACAGGGCCGTTCGAGTCCGAAGAGGATGAAATGTGTTGGAGAAAAACGATTTTTTTTTGCGTACCACTGCACCCTCGCACTATTATCCGCGTGAATGCATGTCGTGGCATTTCAAGCATTTCTGTTGCGAGCCACCCACCCCTACAGCCCTCTTCGCGTTTTTGCCTTCCCACACTCTTGCCCCTCAATTTCGTCGCCCAGCCTTTCACCTCATTCCCTTGCCGTCCCTTCTTCCTTCGTCATGGGTGTAAGTATCATCCTGCCCCCCCGCGTTGTCCAACCCAGCCTCCCATCCTAACAAGTCTCGTATGGATTGTCTTTGCGGCACAGAAAGATGAAATCATCGACACCACTCCCTCGCGCCCGCTGGCGAAGCGCCCGGAGCTCACGGAGGAGGCAAAGGTAGAAATCCGCGAAGCGTTTGAGCTGTTTGATTCGTCTGGTAGTGGCATGGTCGCACGGCGTGAACTCAAGGTCATGATGCGCGCACTGGACTTCACACCGCGCAAGGAGCAGCTATCTCGTGTCTTGTTGCAATCAGGGATTGCAGTCAAAGCGTACCAGATATCCTACCCTGATTTTGAAAACCTCATTTTCCAACTCATGAATGAACGAGACATCCAGGAAGAGATGATGAAGGCCTTTGAACTGTTCGATGTCGACAAGACGGGCAAGATCTCGGCGGAAAATTTGCGCACTGTCGCTGACCAACTCGGGGAGAAGATGACGGACGAGGAGCTGGCGGAAATGATTAGGGAGGCCGATATGGATAAGGATGGCGCGGTCAGCGATACCGAGTTCATACGCATAATGAAGAAAACAGACCTCTGGTGATGCTCGCTTCTGCTATTTGTACATTGGAAACCCATCTTGTTCAGTGCCTCCAAGCCATACCATGCTTTGCTCTAGTCGTTGCGCCAATCTGCTGCAGCCCCACACCATCTTTGCTAGCGCTTGCAAACTGTGCCTGGCGGCAAAGTCTGTAGTCGCTTCTTGGTGGCTACGTTCGTCGTCACTCTCCTTTTGCTTGCATCCCGCCGTTTGGCAAAAACTGTGCCTTTTTGCCGCGACTAAATTTATCTTGAATTAAACTCTCCACCAACGACCCAGTTCATTCAAATCGTTGCAACTTTCTCTCCACGCTTGTCCGGATGCCCATTGTATAACCACCAGACATCATCCGCAATCCATCATGCTGCGTCGGAAACCTACTCGTCAACCGCTTACTCAAACAGACACTGCCGAGCTCGACCGGATCCGCCGCGAGTGGCGCGAAAAGGCGGAAGCGGACGTCATGAAGGACGAGCCGGCCGTCGTGACCGAGAGCACGATGCGTCAGAAGGCAGTGGAGGGATCGACTGTCAGCGACCGTCTCGGCCTCCCTCGTCGAAGTCCGGGACAGTAATCGCTACAACGGTTCGAAGATATCTCGTTCCCGCGTCATTTCGCCCACGTAGAAGTCCAGCGCCGCTTCCGAACTCACCATGCCGCGCGTGAGTCGCCCGCCCGCCGAGTCGCAGGGCGGCTCACTGCAGTTGTGCACCACGGCCGCGTGGACTCGCACTTCGATTCCCCCGTTGTTGAGAATGCCGGACAGGCCCTCGACGTGGTACGGACCTTGCTCGGCCGGCATGTGGAGAGTCTCTTCTTCCCCGCTCTCGTTGACGTTGACGATATCGGCCTCCCCCAACTTGCCGGTCGCGGAGAAAATAAAGCACTTGCCCACAGTTCTTCGCTTGAGAAAGAGGTGCAGTGTCTCAATGACGTCGTAGCCTGACTCCACGGACACTGTCCACCCTTGCACAGTAGACTTAGATGTGGTTGCTGCGATGCCGACGACAAAGTGAAGCGGCGTCATCGCTATGCAGCCCGGAAGCAGCTCGCCCACAAAAGTCTCTGAAATGCCCGTTGTCCTCGTGTCAGATCCGGATACTATGAGATGCATCTCCGGCTTCGAGACGTCCCTCCGCCTCCCCCCGTGCGCGTAGAGCAGGGACAAAGGGTGATTAAAAGTCTGCACGGAGGCCCAGTGCGGTTTCCGTTGCACTTCCTCCAGGGACGGGCTACCGATTTCGCCCTCAAACGGCTCGAGAGTAGAGGTCATGGCGAACGGGGCATCTGGGAATTCGTCAATTACTGTCACTCCGAACGGTTTGTCGGCGTCGACAATCTCCGGGAGTGCCTCGTCGTTGGGCACGTTGAGCACTGCTTTTGATAGCATACCCATGCCAGAGAGAACGACGAGCGGAAGATATCCTGCCTCGTCCGCGCTTTTCTTGAGCCAGTAGAGCAAGTCGGTACCAGCCGGGACTTCGATCATTGTGGCGTGCATTTCGAGAGCCTCCGGACGGCGAATGGTGAAACCCTTTGGCATGATGGGCAATTCGCTCGCAGAGTGCCTTGCGGGCGGCTGACGAGCGTCGGACAGGAGAAACGGGTTGTTCAGTTTTCCGCGTTTCGGGGGCCTACCTCTTTCGCGGGCCAATCTCGGAGATCACGAGCATAAATATTTCTTTTTACAACAAGATGGAGGGAAAAGCAACTAAGCGGAATAACCCCCCCGTCCGCTTCCATCGACGGTAGCGGCTTTCCCCGGAGCTATTCGAGCGGGCAGAACAAGGTCTCGCGCGTGTTATTGCCGGTCATGGGGTTGGTGCCTTTTGCCAAGCTGCAAAGATAATTCTGCTGGTCCTTCCTCAGCAGCGTGTCAGTCCAGTCCGAGTCCTCGAGGGTAACGCCGTTGAACTTGGTGGTGGAGCTGAGGTAGGCGCCGGACAGATTGGCGCCGGTGAGGTCTGCCTGCCGGAGGTTGGCCAGCTCAAACTAAAACCACAACAGACCGCGCAGAGGCCGAAAAAGGGCGCAATCACACCAAAGTCAGTACCGCACACACGCAACGGGCAAAACGTGGGACAAATGTGGCGGGTCAACTCACGTTGCAGCCACTCAGATCGGCGCCTTTGAAGTTGGCGCCGCTCAAGTCGGCGTCGAAGAACGAGGCGTCTCTCAAGCTAGCGCCGGAGAAGTTTGCTTGGCGGAGGATGGACTGCTGGAACGAGATGCCGTCGAAGGCTTGGTTGGAGAAGTCCGCGCCCTCCAGGTTGACGCCGCGCGTGACGGTCTTTATGACGGTGCGGGTGCTGGAGCCGCCGGACGTGCTCGCCGAGCCGCCGGAGACCTTGAGCTGCGGGCGCAGGTCGACTTCGTCGGCGGCCAGGGCCGGGGCGTAGAGGAGGAAGGCCGCGGCGGCCGCGGCGGCCGCGCCCGCGAGGGCCGCGCGGCGGGTGGGGCGCGCGGTGCAGGTTGGGGGGCAATAGACTGGGGCGCGGAAGGGACGGCGGGAGGGCGGGCGGAAAGGGGTTGAGAGGATGAAAGCGGGGGTGTGGGGCGGTGGCATTGAGGGTAGTGGGGTTTGGGCAGGGAGAGAGAGCACAGGGTTTGTTTGAGAGTTCGTTGGGGAAGATGACGGAGGTTGGGAATTGTATTGGTGAAGGATGCGGTGAGGATGTGGTTTGAGTAGATCTGCGGGAGGCGAGATTTCATTAAAATCACACGTGTGACACGTGTCCAAGTGTCGAAGGAGAAATATAACGTGTACACGTGGTGGAGGCGTTCCTCCGCGGATCAAGAGTTGATCCATCCATCGAATTCAGAGACATGCTCCCCTCCTCCCGCTACCTGCTCCCGTGGACGTTGACCCTTCTTTCCTTGCCCCCTTCCCACACTTTCCCTCCGGAATGCGTCTCAACAGCGACACCGTCCTCTCCTCGCCCCCCCACCCCGTCGTCTTAGTCCCCTACACCAAAGCGCACGTGCCCACTTACCATGCATGGATGCAATCGCCGACCCTCCTCCATCTAACCGCCTCGACGCGCCTAACGCTAGCCGAGGAGCACGCCAACATGCACTCATGGCGCGCAGACGAACGCAAGCTAACCTTCATCATCCTGGATCTAGTGCAGGGCAGCAACCACATGGTGGGCGACGTCAACCTGCACCTGCTCAACGCCGAGAGCGAGGAGCTGGGCGACGCGGACACCGTGGCCGGCGAGCTTGAGGTGATGGTGGCGGAGGAGGGCAGCCGGAACCGGGGCACGGCGACGGTTGCGCTCCGCTTGATGATGGCGTACGCGCGCGAGCACGTCAAGGTGGACGTGTTTGTGGCCAAGGTCATGGAGGAGAATGAAGCGAGCTTGCGCCTGTTTCGGGACAAGCTCGGCTTTGTCCCGTACCGCACAGTCAAGGCGTTTGGGGAGATCCATTTGAAGAAGGAGGTGCGGAAAAGCTTTGACGAACAGCTCAAGGTCGTCATGGCGCATGTGTCGGAACAGTCGTTTGCGGAGAGTGTCTACTCGTCGATGCCTGTTGGTAATGTGAAGAACGATGGCGCCGCCGAAAAGGGTACAGACGTCGGGTCGACCGAGAGCTAATGCAGCAATATGCACAAACGTTGACATCAGACCACCTCCCCTCCCCCCCCCCCCCCCCCCCCAAAAGTTTACGCAGCCGCAGTAGTTACGGCATCTCGATCGCTCTTCTAGCCATCTCCATAGCGCCGTCAAACTCGAGATTCCCGCCAATAAACCCTGCCGCGTGTACGAAAACGCACTTGGGGATGCCCGTGAGCTGCGAGAGCTGGTCATCGCGGAGGCCTCTCCACGGCTCGGGAAGCTTCTTCCTCGACTCAAAGGCGGCACCCTCGACAGGCACGCACTGCAACCTCCACGTGTCGCCTGTCATATCCTTGTACACGACGTACAGGACGTCTCCGACTTGATCGGCCTCGCGCTCGAGGTCGAACAGGTGCTCCTTCCACGGGGCCCACTCGCGCATGACGAGGATGCTACCGGACGGATGATGAGGCGCGCGGGCGTCCATGGCGGCGGCGACGATGGCGCGTGCGGGGAGCCACGAGCGGGCGACGCGCAGCACGCAGTCGTCAAACTCGGCGCCGGCGAGGCGGACGGCGGCCATGAAGTTGGCGTCCTGGTCGGGGGACTTCTCCCACCACTCCGGGTTGAGGCGTGCGACGCGGGCGGAGAGGTCTGTGGACTGCTCGTATCGCGCGGGGCGGTCCGAGTGGTAGCGCGGGACGCCGTTGTCGATGGCGTCGACGGCCTCGACGAAGGCGTCGTAGACCTTGTCGAAGAGGCGGTCCAGGTGGTGGTCCGCGGGGGCGGGGTCGCCCGCGGCGCGCAGGACGTGGGTGATGACGTCGCGGCCAAAGTGCTTGTACACCAGGCCGGCCGAGGAGAGCTTGGTGCGGTTGCGCGGCGGGGCGGGGCACAGCGTGGCGGAGAAGGTGCGCTGGTGGTGGTCGAAGCGCAGGGCCGCGGGGTCGTACACGGCGCCCACGTCGACGAGGACGTCCAGCGTGGAGAGCGTGGCCGGGTCGCGCGTGCGCACGATGCGCGACGCGGAGAAGCGCGGCAGGACGCGGAGCATGTGGCACGCAAGGGCCTCGTCGCAGTGGAAGGTGCCGTTGTGCGTGCCGATCGTCGGGGCGGGGACCGTCATCACGGGGCGCAGGTGTGGGCGCAGGGAAGGGCGTAGGGAAGGTCTTAGGGAAGGGCGTAGGGAAGGGCGTAGGGAAGGGCGCAGGGAAGGGTGCAGGGAAGGGCGCAGGAAAGGGAGTGAGGGGGTGAAGAGGAGAGACGGGAGACGCATTGGAGGCGCTCGGGGATGGGAGCGGTCGTCGTCCGGCGGGAGTGGGATTAAAAAAACAGGTGGCAAGGGGAGTGCGGATACTCTGTAGGAGAATTGCGGTGGGATAATGGCTACTGAAAATGGTGAGAGGAGGCGAGGCTTGCAGAGGATGTGAAGTTACCGAGTATATCACCCCCCTCCGCCGTCCCTACGGCGCACGTGTACACGTGTACACGTACGCGTAATGACATGCGGGACGCGCGCACAGCGCAGTGTCATGACGCTACCTTGACAGTTGACAAGCTGTCCAGGTGGACACGACACACAGCGCCAACAGGTTGGGGTACAGTAGGTACCCCTCAATAGTGCACCCTCGTGCCATAAGCTATAGATACGCACTACTGACAGCGCGACAGCGCGAACTAATAAAGGTTTATCCACAGGTCACGGCCCACCGGCCACAAAATGCTCTGATATGAGCGTTTGATGTCGCTTCTTGCGCGCTTGTTGGTGATAGGCTTCAAACAGGGCTCGTTTGGCTCGGCGCAGTGCCTCTGAAGCATGCCGTCGTGGTCGTCATCCGCAACGCAACGCAGCGGTGTGCACTCCCTGTGAAAACTGCAGAAGTTGATTGGCGCGTGGTTTTCTCCACGCGCTGTAAGGACAAGATACTCTAGTAATTTCCCTCTCTGTAGTGAGTATATAAGTCCCCCCGATGATTCCGAGTAACGGGCGTCGGGGGATGGTAGAGGGAAGACACACACCGTACGTATCGAGTCGTTCACCGACTCTCGTACAGTAAAGAACTGCCGGTCGTCGGCAGTTTTCCCTCGAATTTCTCCATTTTAGTGGCAAATTCCACATTCATGAATTAATTTTTTGCCCGAGAACAGAAAAACCCTACCCGTGATCTCCACTTTTTCTCCTCTTGTCCGGCGTCGCGCAGTGGCTGTCCGCCCTTCTCCGTCGTACCTAACCTCCCCGCTCGCCGCACCGCCTCCCAATCCCGCTCGCCGCGTCCCCCCGCTCGCCGCGCGCCCCGCCGCTCGCCGCAGTCTAGCGCTCACCGCCACGTGCCGCTGGCCGCGCCCCGCCGCTGGCCACTCCCCGCCGCTCGCCGCAGTCTGTCGCTCGCCGCACCACGCCGATCGCCGCACCCCGTCGGTTGCGGTATTCTGTGGCTTACTGCTTGCCGCTTCCTACTGCGTGCTGCTCCTGGCTGCTTTCTGTTCATTTTGTTCGCAGTTCCTTGCTGCTCGCTGCTCCTCGCCGCTCGCTGATCCTTGCCGCTCGCTGCGCACTGCCGCTCGTCGAGCCCCGCGGTTGCACTTTTCCGTGCCGCCTCTTGCTCACGGTACCGCCAACTCTCGCTCTGACGGTGACGCCGCCTCTCTCTCACACTTGGACGCCGCCTTGCTCCGATTGTGACGCCGCCTCGCGCTCCACTGTGCCGCCACCAGACACAACGCCACACCGCTCACGCTGCGTTACCGCCTCTCCCCGCGCTTGCTGCCGTGTCGCTACCGCCACACCGCCTCCTAAAGGGTACACTATTGCCACTCCCTGCCGCGTTACGGTCCAGCTGCCGTAACCAAATCACCGCCTCAAAGACAGCACGCTGCTACCGGCCGTGCCAAAGGCCTCACACGTGACTAGCACATCGAAGACTGCGGCTGTGAGCAGAGTCCCAGTACATCTGTTCGATTACCAACGACTACTCTAGTGGACAATTCTTTTCCCCGAGAGCGATAGCGAGGGCGGCAACTTGAACCAAAAGTGAGGAAGTGTTAGTGAGTCCCCACCGGTTCGCTGTTTCGGCAGTGGGCGGATAACGGTGTTTGGTCGAAAGGCCTGGTGACCACACAGCGACCGATCTGGACGGGGTGTTGTACCGACGGGGAGGGTTTGAGAAACTAGTCTAGTCGCGTCGCGCAAGCTTCCTGAAAGGGAGTAGACAGCCTTTAGCCAGTGTATTGGCTGCTGTGGATCTCCCGTAAGGATCGTCGCGCCCGCTCCAGCAAACGCAGGAGTGGGTAAACAGCTGAAGTCGTTTCCGACCCGGACGGTCTCCGGGTGCCGAAGATCAGACCTTCCCGTCGTGGGACGGTATCTCTCCAAGGACTTCCCCTGTAGAGGACAGGGCGCCAAGGGTCGGAGTACCCTTTCAAGGTTGAAATTTTTGCCGAAGCCGAACTTGTACCAACACTGAACATGTCACAACAGCAGGAAACATCAGATGCAACCTCGCCTTCGGGATCCGGGCAACAGGCAGAACCCCGCTTCATGCACCACGTCCCTCTGGCTGACCTTAACGACAAACAGAAGGGATTCGTGTCCTCTGTACGCCATTTAGAAGCCACTGAGGCTGCCCAAGGGGATGGTCTTCTACGCATATTCGCAGACATGTTCCCTCCCGCAGACCTTTTTTCAAAGGAACTCTGTGAACTACCGGCAGTCTACACTGAGCTCCGCAACTTCCTTGATTCACACGGAGCTAACATGCAGCAGCACTCTTCTCGCCGCATCATGATGACTCTTGCTCATAATATATACGAAGAGCAGGAAGATCAACAAGCTGCGATTGGCATCGTCACCGAGATCATGGCTGCAGGTCGTCGAATGAGGACCGATCTTTCCCGGACGGACAACAACCGCCAAGAAGAGTCGCAATCACGCTCTGCCTCCACCTCCACCGCAAGTGCCCCTGATAGACTAGCACACAATGTTGCCATGCGTCTCAGAGACAGGGATAAAAAGTTTAGCGGGGCGCTTGGTGAGTCGTGGATGGAGTTCGTGGATGAGTACATGCAAGTATGCCGAGATTATTCTCTGTCTCCAACACAAAAGCTTCACTACATGCACAATCTCCTATCCGGGGATGCGAAGAGGTTCTACCTGGATCGAGTAGATGGCTATGCAACCTCATACCAACAAGCCATAGATCTGGTTGAGAATGAATACAATTCCCCTGTTAGACAGGCAAGGGTGAAAAACTACCTCAACACTTTGCGAATTTCTACGTTCGTTTCAGATGGGCTAGATGAGTCTGCGGCACTATCCAAAATCTATAAGGTGATCACGAAGTTGTCTCGTCAAGGACCTGCTTCCCATCGCGGTGATGCACATAAAGTAGAATTCCTTCGGAACGCAGTCGTTGGATCTGGGTGGTCCCATGAGCCGCTGAGCAGGGTGGCAACGCACGGTCTCTCTTTCCAACAGCTCTACGGCGAACTGGAGGCTGCTCTCCAACTCCAGAACGAAGCAAAGCAAGCCATGTTGAGAGATGCCGCAACAAAGACCAAAGACCTTGGCTACGACGATGAGGTCCCAGGGATACTCTTCGCAGGTCAGACCCGGTATGCCAAACACCCATCTCGTAATCGCTTCTTCAGAGGTTCAAGGGGTTTCAGCACTCTGTCATCTAGACCGAGAACCAGTTTTGATCCACTTAGCATTCAAGGGTGTTTCAACTGTGAAGACAAAACACATACCATTCGAGACTGCCCGCGGCCGATAAACGCAGCTAAAGCCGCTGCTAACAAACTGGACTACTTTCGAAAAAGGAAACAGACTGGAGAACGTTCTGTACACCTCGTTCTTGCTCAATTATGTCAGCAACTCGACCAAGGATCTGCTTCCGGCGCCCGAGAAGAGGTCGAGGAGAAAGACATCCCAGAGAAGCAGACTGATCGTGAGATCTTTGAATGCATCTTGGAGGAGTCTAGCCAGTACGACGTTGACTGCACTTCCCCACGCCCTCTACATTCGAACGAGACTTTATCTCAGGAAGAAGATTCCCTCCATCCATACTTCTCGCAGCAAGATAGAGAAGACTACGTATTCGTCGTGTACGAAGAGGATAACGCCTCAATATTCAAGTCTGACCATGTGTTCGGTACCGACAAGGACGTTCCGTTCCTAGGCGCATGTATCGATACGGGAGCACAAAAGTCTGTCATCGGAAAACAACAAGCCCTGGCGTACTTCAGGCTTATCGGGGAGGAGTTCAGGCCGCCCAAGCACGGGCATGACCTTAAGTTCAAGTTTGGAAACCGCCGCCACATCGGACTTGGTCGTATTGAGATAAGGATTCCCATCAATGGAACGCACGTTCTATGCCCGAACATCGAAGTGGTTGATGTAGACGTCCCGCTACTTCTCGGCCTAGACTTTCTCGACGAGTACAAGATGATCGTTGATGCGGCAAATGATTTACTCGAATCGAAGATCCGCGCTTGGTCATTCCCTTTAACGCGGAAACTGGGACATCTATATCTTGAATGGGACTACGGAACATTCTACACATCAAAGGAACTGTTGAAGCTGCACAAACACTTCTTTCATCCAGAGTCAGGACGTCTCTACGCAATGCTAAAGCGGGCCGACAATGCGAGTACAACTCCATCTGATCTTAAAGAACTGGAGAGGGTCGCATCGGAGTGTGACGTTTGCCAGAGAAACATGGCCGCTCCGAGCAGATTCAGAACCGCTCTTCCGTCCGATGATGTCGTGTTCAATAGGTGCGTTTGTATGGACATTATGTTCCTCGAGGGGAAGGCAGTGTTGCATATGGTGGACAAGGACACTAAGTTCAGTGCAGCTGCTTTCCTCCCTAAACAGACTGTCGACGAGTTGTGGAGCACATACTTGTCGCACTGGGTCCTTCCCTACATCGGTCACGCGCTTGAGATACACGCAGATCAAGGCCCCCAGTTCCGCTCTCGCAGGTTCGCGTCCTACACGAGCATGGAGGGAGTTCAGCTTCGCTTATCGGGTGTCGAAAGCCACAACAGCCTAGGCGTCGGAGAGAGGTATCACCACTACCTGCGTCGTATTTTTCGCAAGATACGCGATGAGTTTCCTGATATACC